AATGAAAGAAACATGACAATTTATTATCAAATTATCTTGCCATCACCTTATCATATGAACACTTTTTAATTGATTTTTATCTTCTTAAAAAGAGAATGACTATTCTTCACCACTATAAATCTTTAAGGTTATGAACTTATTATTAAACAAGATCAAAATTATTTATTTTCTTTCATGTTATTAAAGTTGGCGAATTTTACAACCTTTTCAACATTTGACAATTTTTTATCACCCATTTGATGTAGCAAAATATGTAGCAATGCATGTCGTATATTTATTAGATTTCATGAGAAATATGTGAACGAATTATAATAAACATATTTTTTTACTCTGCTAAAAACATGAACCAATAATTGCACTAAGATCAACTCAATTATTCTTCCAAACGAAGATATGAGATGAGAAAAACCATCATCATCAATCTTATACCAAGTAAGTTGGGATCAAATTAATAAATCCTCATTCGTCATTCATTTTTTATGGAGCAACCAATCAAAAGGCTGGAACAAACCATAACTAGGAAAACAATCAGGGCACTGGAATTCGTCTTGAAATATTAGGTATGCTCAACTTGCAGGATAAAGTAAAGAAAATAAAAATAGAACTCAAAACCTAAAACCATTGGAGTGAATCATGATAAAATTAAAATGTCAAAATATTACAGATTTCAAGCAACCAAACAATAGCTTCCTCACATTTTAAAAATCAAATATAACATCTCTTAAAATTGGGTCCCTTCTCCTAACAAAACTATATCCCATAGTAAAAATGTCAATGTCTCTAATATTTGAGCTAATCTACATCCAAAAAATCCTAAAAATAATAATAATTTGATACAACTCCTTAAATTTCTATGTGAGGGTCAATGAAGTTTGTTAGGTGCTTATCAAAGATGGCCACTCTCATAGATCATCCAATAGCCAAAATGCATAACAATCGAAAACAATCCAGACCAACTCCAAAGAGCAACAAGATAAACACATGTGCTCAAAAATTAACTAACCAATTCACTCTCGTAATCATGTTTGTCTCAATTGTTGATCAATCTAAAACACCAAAAGATGCTCTCCTTCAAATTAAGGAAAAATAATTTCAATTTTTTCCCTATCCCAAAAATCTAATGTCCAAATTAATGCCTCAATGGCACTACTCATACAAAGAAGCTAAAGAACAACCCCTTATTTCCCCTTCAAGCAAATAGTTAGTATTTGTTCTTCTTTAGTAAATTTAAACATCTTCCCCTACCTTTCCAAACCAAAACATAAAATACAATCCATAATTTACTATAAGTACCAAAAACTCTTTAAATAAAGGTCAATATCAACTAAAATAAATGTTCAATAAGGTCGATGTTCTCAACTCATGAATTGGCAAGCAAATAAATGTTCAACTTAGCAAGGTCATACATCTGGATTACATCACCTATGTTATGGTGAGAATAGAGACAGTAAGTTTTGTCATCGAATTCCTCACACATATTTCACAACAACATTTCCCTTACTTAGTATTAGTCTCCAGATCTCCATGCCATTCGCTTCCGCTTTTGACAAAAGGTGGCAAGAATAGTTTGTTCACCAAACTCCCAATAGAAGAATGGAGCTCATGTGACTTATCAAATGTCGCTAGAACAAACCAATAGAAATGTTAATGAGGACTTAGCGGAACCAAAATGAAATGTGAATGGCCAAATCATGATTTTTGAAACATTAAGGAACTAATCAATACTAACTTAAGATCTTGGGTGTTGGAATCAATTTTATAATTAGTTAAACATTATGAGTTGATTTACTGATTTTTTTAATCTCATTTATCTTCAACAATTTGATTTCATAATAGTGAATTTTGAAAGACATTTCTTTAGCCAGTCATTTTGTTGAATGCATGACAATGTTACATACTTAATGTCTTAGATGTTAGTGTTAGGTGGTTTGCTTCATACCTAACTTTGCATGAAGCTATAAAAAAATGCTTCTTGGCTAGCTTTGGATGAGGCCGAAAAAAAAATCTTCTTTTCTCTATGCTTTGGATATGATTTCACAACCTAAGAGCTTTAAGTATTGAGAATTCTTCTTATCTTTTTTTAACATTAACTTCTTGATATGCTTTCATGGGCAACAAGAAGCATAGTTGGTGCAGTGCCTCGATCTTTGGTGGTGCATGACTATCAAAAATGGCAATGCATTTTGAATCTAAAGGACAAAAAGCGAGAAAATTAACCAAGCGCATATGGCTTGACTGTCAGAGAAAACTATATGCAATTATGCATTGCTTCCAAGGCCACATCTGAAGTTAATTTGATGCTTTTTAAATTATTTTATAATATTTATAATAGATAATTACGCTAAGCTACAATCAATCTATGTCTATGGGAGAGGTTTGCTCTCAATGAGATCTCACCTACAAGAATGCTATAATAAAGGTTGTTGTTATAAGATTTTGGTTGAATTATAAATCTCATATTAAATCATGATAGAAGTACAAGGCCCATAATGCACTCACATTATTATGACCTAAGGCTTGTATGATATTATAGCACTCTAGACTAAATATGAACCAAATTCAGCAATATGTAACTAAAATACTATTACCCTTGGTAAAGATTCAAAACTAGAAGATACCTTCGCTATATACATGATAAAATTTGCTCAAAAAATAAGATGGAACATTTAACATTTTTTTAATTTGCTTATATTTTACTTTCTTTGAAATATATCCTTAAATTTGAGTTATTGATTTTTAATTGAATTTATTTGTATGAAATTTTGAATTAAGAAAGGATTGTTTTAATTACTATTATAATTATTCAACATAATAAGTTATTGTGTCAGCTTGCATGCATACCAATTGTTATGTGTAGAATCTGATTGTGTTGATCAATCTGATTGTTTTGTTGTTCTTGAACATCAATGCTTGTCAGGTTCACTTGGGGGGGGGGGTTACCCCCTGCTTCGGTTTGGATGCTTTGCACCCAAAAATATTTTTTCCACACAATGTCGGGTATTGTGTACCTGAGCGCCCCAACGCTATGTTCTCGAGCACCCCAGCGTTGAACAACAAAGAGCAGAGCGCTGCAACAGTATAGACATTGTTTAAAATTGCACAATATGAGGCTTGCCTCAGCGCAATTTCAGTGAAAAACACCTTGAGGCTTACGCTTCAAACTTTTTTTATGAGGCTTACACCTCATCTTGGCTGAGGCCCCCCTTGAGGCACACCTCACCTCGCTGACATGAGGCATACGTCTCGCTCTATTTATGTATATTTTTTATTTAAAAATTAGTTAAATCCTATACAAAAGCTCAAAAAAAATCATGCCCTCTTGTGCTCCAAAGTTGTAACAACTTCCTCTCAACTGCCTCAAACTCTAGCCCACCGCCTTTGCCATAGACACCACCATCATTGTCGCCACCATGGATCACTTGAAATCCACACGCCGTCACCATCTCCTCTAAAAATTTAAGTATTACTTTTAATTTATCTTGATGATAATCATTTATGAAAGAGGAAGATGACTGAAATAAATAAAGAAGTTGATTGGGAGATATTGGACCCTATAGGATGAGCCAAGGGAGAGGCCAATTTCTTATAACAACTCAAATAAAAATCCCCTTAGTACTGATATTACAAATGATTTCTGAGTTGTTGTCAATTATTTTAACTTTTTTTATTAATTAAATGTAGATGAGTAGGGAACTGAGAAAGAAGATATTTATGGCTAAACTTGATTTTATATGATACGTTTATGCAATTCATATATTTTATGTTGTTTTTCTTATGTAATATTTAGATTTCGATTCTATTTCACATAATTTATTACTTACCACTTTACATTTTGTGTAATTTTTTGTTTCATATATATGTAAATTTGTTACTTCATAGTTCAATAGAAAGTTAATATGCCATCCTTTAACATAATATTTGAGTATTATATAAAAATTCACTTTTAACTTTTATTTTTTATTTTACGTAATATTTAGATTTTGAGGCTTACACCTCAAAATGCCTTGAGACTTACGTCTCGCCTCATGTGTCAATATTTAATGCCTTGGACGTTGGTGCTAATTGACTTCCATCATGGCTAGCTTTTATGATATCATATAAATCTCCATTCATGCATGTTTTTGGACATGATTCAAAGATAAGAGCATTGATTTGTTAGACTGCTTCTATATTTCTTTCTCTACTTTCCTAGTTTACTTTTCCTAGATAATGAGGCGATAGTAGTTCAAAGTGTCTCGATCTTTATAGTGCATTATTAAATCAAAATTAGTGGTAGGGTGGGATGTATTCAAAATCTAGTGCACATGGAGTTTTACTATTGTGAATGAAATTACTAGTGGTATGCATCCATTTCCAAAAACCTTTAAACTTAAATTGATGTTATTTAAATGGTTTTATAATTTAATTAATTATATTTCATTGCTCCACACAAGGACAATCTTATTTATATTTTTTTATCAAATATCTAATTGTTTATCAAAATACAATACATGTGCATAAAGACTAAAAAATTATAGTTTCTTTATTGAATCATAAGATATTTTCCAATAGTAAGGGCCTTAACGTAATATACCTTCAAAATATCTAGCCTTGTTTCCTCTTTTCACTTTCCTCACACCCATTTATACATCATCAACAAACTTGTAGCTAACGCACTGTGATGAACTTTTGTCAATGCTACCTCATGAACAGTTACAAAATAACCGCCCAATCCATCCCGAAACAAACACCACACATCACCCATTTTCTCATTAAACTTCCTTGCAATTCCCTTATTCAGACAATAAGGAGTTACCCAAATTTTCACATCTTGACAGATTTTTTTTATTTTAAATGGGAATTTAACCTTAATAGGATATAATGAAGACAAAGAATTCATGTAGCCGACCACCTAGTGGGATAAAGGCATGATGTTTTTGTTGTTGTTGTTGTTGTTGTTGAAAGTTTTTTTTTTTTTTTTTAATCGGTAAGTCATTTTCTATCAGCAGAAAATCCCATACCTGGAAAATCAACCTGATCCCATCCCGCGTGTCGACAGCGACTGGCATGCAAGAACAAAAAACACCGCTATCGATTATACGGTGCACGTCCTCCTGCACTTCTCGAACTGTTAGGGCCGAATTAGGGCGGCTGAACTTGAGCGCACCGGCAGCCGCAGCCTCGAGATCTGTACGTTCGAGCACCTCCCCATCCTTGCTCCGAATCAAAACCTCGCTGATGAGGACTCGCTCCTCGTCCTCTTTCGCGTGCTGAGGCCTCCGCGGATTCTGCTCCTGCTCCGGCCGAGTAAAGGCGAGCGAAGACGAGCATAGGAGATTTGGCCGCCCCCAAGCCCGAGTGAACGAGGCTGCCAATCGATGAATTGATTCTTTGGCTCTTTGAAGGTGAAAGGAGAAGTCATGGCGGGCAAAGGGCAGGGCAGATAGTTGGGGGAAAGGATGATATTTAGGAAAAGGAGGGATTTTGATGTTGGACGATATGAAACGGACATCTTCGTTTCTTCCCATTCCCGCAGCACAAACAGGCGGCTTGAGAGTCTGCTATAGGTGCTAAAGAGAGCTCAGCAGTTAGGGTTCAAGAGGTTTTAGGCCTGCAGAAAAAAAAAGAAGAATTATAGAATATATAGATCCATATAAAGAAATTCATAATTCTAAGAAAGTTGACTTAAAATCTCAACCTATTCGAACAAGATCTAGGCATAGTTTGAAAAAGATAAATGTGTTCAAATATGATTCTATCAGTTTTAAATAATGTTTAAATATGATTTGAATAGAATTTAAACAAGGTTCTAATAAAGTTTCAATTAAGATTTGAATCATTTACAAGACAGCATACTACAACTTTATTACAATGGAGTGCAATTACAATTGTATACCATAAATTGCTCATGTTAAGCTCTAGTGATGTCAAAACGGATTAACCAGTCAAGTTTGGGTCCAAATTGAAATTGACCCAATCTAAATACAATCGACAGAAACCTAACCTGGAAATGGTGGACCCAACCCCAACCTAGTGGTAACTTGGACGACCCTAACCCGACCCAATAAGTCATTTTGATTTATGAATACTATAACTTGTTATTTATACAGTTTATGTTAATTGATCAAAAATAAAAATGCATACTTATAAGCAAAAAAATAAGAGAAAAAAATTAAACGGATTACTTTTAGATTAAAATTAGATTCACAGGTCTACCTGATCCCGACCCGCCAATTAGACATGTCGAAATTTCAAACCTCAACCCAACCCGTTATTAAACAGGTCAACTCAACCCAAATCTTTCGTGACTGTTTGTTGGGTCAATTCATTTATTGACCTACCTATTGAGGTAGAAAGAGGTCTCTATTGGGTCAACTAGATCAATTAATAGCTACATGCGATCTCATCTTATATATAGAAGCCTTAATGCACATCTTATATAATTAAAGATATATATTTAGGATATATCCTTATTAACGTAATCTTTAATTATGTCATAATATGTCATTTAATTATAAGTTTTTATTAGCAGTGCCTCTACTCTTACATATAAATAAGGGGTTAGAGGGCAAGCCTAAAGATAGCAACTTAATGGTATCATGGTCACTATTTTCTAGCAATAAAATATCATATGATTTGCCCTCAATCTCTTTTGGTTCTCTCTTGCATTCTCCCTTTATTTTTCTATGTTTTTATAGCAACCTTGTAAGTAAGGTATGAGCATTGCTTACAAATAAATTCAGATTCAGCAATAGTAGTGATAAAATAATTGATTATGACTTTAATAATTCATGGTAGAAGAGCAATAATTATAAAATATTAAACTATTATTTTGAAACAACAATGCAGTCACAGTAACTACAGTATAGTTAACTATAATTTAAATACAATATTGTGCAATTACAATATTTATTACACATATGGGACATGACATAATCTAAGACAAAAATGCAAAGTTCGAACATTGCTTAAAGTTTCTTTGAATCTTTCCTGAACTTTGTTCGAGCTTTGTTTGAAGTTTGAATATGGGAAATAATATGAAACATGTTAAGAAAAGAAATCTATAATGAATAAAATATGAATCTTATTCAAATATAATTGTATTGCTCAAATGGTGTTTGAACCAGTTTGAACTTTAAAGAAGATTTGAAAAATGTTCGAGCAAGGTTGGAAAATGGTTTAAACAAGGTTCCAGTAAACTTTGAATAAGCTTTGAAAAAGATTTTGATAAGATTCAAAAACATTTGTTTTGTCACCTTATCTTATATGAAATATATTCATTTGTATTAGTTTGATATGTATGCACATATAGATTCTTTATGTTATCTAATAAGATAGTGAATACGGTACTACCCAAATTCTTGTAGATCTTGCATTATTATCTTAGATGAACTATTTGATTAATGTTGAAGAGTAGCAATCTGTAAGAAAAAAATAAAGAAAAATAAGTTTTTTTATTATTATTTTTAGATTAGATTAGAATATGATTGTAATAAAAAATATGATATCTAATATGGTTTAAGGTTTAGTGTGTAAATAAAGTTTGGACAAGGATTGAAAACTCCTATTATAAGTTTGTACCTCTTTCATTCTTAAAACTAAGGTTCTTGTTTAATATATTTCCTATTATAACATACAGTTATTGGTAATGAATGCATTCAAACCTAAATAATAAAAAATAGCATCAGTACTAATCTTGAATAGATGATGGTTAGAAAGTAGAGGTCATAACTAATCACCATAAAAGCCCATGAGACTACCATAAATAGAGAATGCATTGGGAAGAGGGATATTTGAGCCATCACCTTTGTAGGTAAGTTTGCATGAGTTGTGAGTTGGGGTTTATAAGTCAAATTTTTATATAGCACTGGTATTTTGAACTGAAATAAACTTTTTGACATATTTCTCCAATGAATGAAACAATTGGGAGGATATTTGTCCAATTATGGCAATTATGAGGTATAGAAAGTCAAAATTTTCAATTCTTTAGTATTTATATTTCTAACATCAAAATTTTTTATTTACTGATATGATGCCTTGTATTTAAATAACATTAATAAAAAAGTGTATTTAATTTTAAAGAAGTTAACGTTAGTGATATTTTTGTGTGATTTAAAATTGAAATATTATTTAAGTAAATTTAGATGTTCGGGTTTTAAATACTTCAAAATTTAGCGGCATGTATGTAAATACACATATGGATTGTTCTTCCTTACAAAAATATTTTTATTTTAATAGTTTTGTTAATTCAATCTAAAGTTGAAAATTAGGATTTCTTAAAACCTTTATGTTAATTCTTATTTTGGGTGGCAAATTATCCAAAATACAAGTACCTTAAAAAAATTATTTTGGTAAGAAATTAAAGTGTTAGAATTATGCAAAAGATATACCAAAATCTTTCTTCATGACGCATTGTTTCTTAGATTTTTGAATTTTCATGATGATTTTTTTCTTAGATATTTCTAAATCGATCTTCCTTTAATATTTTTCTCCTTGAAATTGAAAAACATCATGTAAAAAATATTTTGAGTATTTGCATGCCCAAACATAAGATGTAAAATATTCTAGGTTCTTAAGGAAATACTATAACTTTAGGAGGTTAGTAGATATCAATTTTACTCCTACAAGCTCGACAAAGACCAAGAAATGCATATACTCTAAATCACGTCCATAATTAAGAGTCTCATTAATAAAGATATGAAATTTACCCTCTTCCATCCAAAACACTTAAATTAAATATTGTATCCAATATTTTTATTATTTTATTCAGTAATAGAATCTCCACAATTATCATATTTATTTTAGTATAATAATTATTATAATTAGAGTAAAAAGTAATAGTTTGTCTCAAGTAAGCTTACTTCCTCGTGATATACTCTAAATCACGTCCATAATTAAGAGTCTCATTAATAAAGATATGAAATTTACCCTCTTCCATCCAAAACACTTAAATTAAATATTGTATCCAATATTTTTATTATTTTATTCAGTAATAGAATCTCCACAATTATCATATTTATTTTAGTATAATAATTATTATAATTAGAGTAAAAAGTAATAGTTTGTCTCAAGTAAGCTTACTTCCTCGTGGGTTTGACACTATACTCTATTACTTGATTCAGTATATATATATATATATATATATATAT